CCATACGCAGTTCGATTCATAAATGTCCATGGTTGTCTTTAGACCACCAAGACTGGTTTTAAAAATACCCTTCTGAAAGGTAGCAGTTGGTTTTTGCACTGTCTAGGTTCTGTTGGAGAATTGTCAGTATTTCCGCCCAAAGCCACATTTACAGTCAAGAGAACCAAACTCAAGGGTCTGTCTTCAAACTTGGTCTGTGACTTGGCACCTTCGTTACTCGGATGCAGTGAGTGATACAAAGTGGAGATCACGGGTTATAGGATTATGCCCACAACAGTGCTAAATTACCTAAGGTTTTCTCTCCCCCAATTTTTGTTTTATCTTTAAAATTTTTTTTTCATTCCCAATTCTTTCAGGTGCTCCACATTCAGGGCTTTTAATTAATTAGTTTTTATTTCTTTTTTTTTTTTTTCCTTTTTTTGTTAATAACAGTGTTAGGGAATCCTCATGGAAATGGCCTTTTTTAAGTGTTAGGGGCCATCTCAAACTGTCCGAGGGGTACAGAAGCAAGCTTAGAAGTGCTGCTATTGTCCAGCAAGGAGAAAAAGTTGAGGGGTGCAAATCAATGGGAGATTCAAACAGTTCTCTTCCACCCTATGTGGGCAAGGGTGTTTTTTTTTCTTTCTTTCTTTTTTTTTTTTTTTTTTTTTTTTTTTTTTTTTTTTTTTTTTGTTTTAATAAGGAATAAGGAGTCCAAAACACAGAAAAAAGTGCTCTCCATCACAACAACTCGTATTGGCGAAGGTGCATGCGCTGAATAATGTCCCGACAGTCATTGAAAACCCTTCGGATGTTCTCTGTGTCCACGGCACACGTGAAGTGAGGGTAGCAGTAGTGCCTTCCATCTCCACTTGCTGTGCTGATTCTCTATGGAAAGTAAAAGAGAGAGACTTCAAATAAATGGGTGAAAATAAAAGTGACCGGACAAACCCCCCTCCACGTTCCCAAAACACAGCCGAGCGGAGGTGAAGAGGCCTCTGTGTGAGTTGTGTCTTCGCAGGGTGGGACTGAGTGGTGGAACACCCACAGCTTGACACCCTCTCACCTAAACCATGACATTTAAAATGAGCAGAATTACAAGGTGAGAAGGTCACTGCAAACTGGAGAATTTCAGAGTAGAATGAGAGCTCAAAAAAGTGCCATTATTAATAAGCAGTTCCGGTGAATTTGGCAACACAGCTCCTAGTCATTCCAGCCATGAGAAAAAGTAGGATTTTGCCTTCCTGTACAAGGCAATTTTATCCCTGCTTTACACTTACAAAAAACCTCCCTCAACATTTTATTTTGCTCCATTTTAAAATGAGTCCATAATTTGATTCCCAGGCTCACCACTATATGTAATTGTAAAAATATAAAAAAAAAAAAAAATAATAATTTTTTTTTCTGACCAGTAATGGGAAAGATAATAAAAAAAGAACATTATATTTGACAGATGATGCATCTTTTGATTAGTCTCTATCTTTAGAAGTAATGCATGGAAGAAAAATCTGGCCCTGTTAGTAAGAGTAGGACTTCATTCTAGATTCTATTTGAGGTTTCTTAATTCTCACCCATTCTTTTGCTATTGAATTATGAATTATGTACAAGCAAATACCCAAAAAGCAGCTGAGAAAAAGCAGTAAAGCTCTTAAACACAACTGTTTTATGCAGTGTGGCTGTTAAATATAAACAACACAAGAAGTGACAGCATTTTGCAATAGCAGAAAGTGCTCAAGAGTTTAGGTTTGAGGAGAATCAGGTAAGAAATACCAAAAGAAAGGAAATACTTACAAGAAACTCGTCTCTAATAAAATACTTGGCCCTTGTAACTCTGGGATCCTCACCAGGCTCTGGTGTTGCTGATTAACAATGAAATAAGTATCGTATTAAAACAGATATTTTCTGGTAATAGCACCTAAAAATCTTAAACTTGCTCTGTTTTCTGCTCATGTCTGATAGAAATATACTTGGCAAAACTGACTGTGAGGTAAGACAAATCATAACATTGTTTAAAACAGCAAGATTTCAAGAGAACAAAGGAATATTACAGGGGCCACAGTACCAATCATTTGGCATGGGTAGCATTAGGGGGAATCCAAAGGACACATCAGTGCCAAAATGTCAGACTGTGGTCAACACCAAAGTAACAGGTTTCTGTCATGATTAAATTATTAATTTATTAAATGTGTAGAAGGCAGGATTCTCTCATTATTAATACTTAAAATTTAACAGTAAAGTTTGACTGAAAGACAATGAACTTTACATCTACTTACAAGTTTTCAAGTCTTAGCTGAAGCTAGCAAAAACATTACAAATGTGATTAACAAAGAAACGATAAATTGTAAATAAAACTTAAAAATCTTACCATCATCTGGTGTAGTGTAGCGAGCAAATTCTGGAAAGTAGTCTTCAATTTTAGATTTCCCTGCCAAAACTTTCTCTGCTAGCAAATCTTGTTTATTCAGGAAAAGGATTACTGAAATGGTCCGTAGCCACCTGTGGAAAATGGGAACCACACACTGTGAGAAGGCACAGCCTGGATCATACAGAAACTGAACCCAGGGCTGGAGACAAGAATGCAACACACTGAGATAATTTGGAAAGGTTCCTTTTAAACCTGAATCCTGAGGGTGAATTCCAGGGGTGCACACCCTGAGGTTGGTCTGTGCTGCTGATCCAAACCCATCACCCACCCAGGGGAGCACACTCTGCTCAGTGCACTGCTCTGGCACTGCTTTAATTACTCCAGCCATAAGTAATGACTGTTTAACAAGTGAAAGGTAAGTGGAAGAGAGGAGAAAACAAAACAAGTGATGCAAAGGCCATCACTCCCCTTCTCCTGTGGGCAGACCAATCCCAGCACGCTGACTAACCTCCCCAAATCCCCTGTTTTGCCTCTCAGTTACGTGGTACAGACCATCCCTCCAGTCAGTCTGGATCTGCCCACTTGTGTCCCCTGCCAACCTACTGCACACCCCCAACGGATTCACTGCAGGGGCAGAGTGAGGAACAGGGAAGGCCTTGATGCTCTGTAAACACTGCTCAGCAACAGCTCCAAGATCAGTATGTTATCAGCATTGTTTGGGTAAAACCTAAACCACGGCACCATATGGACTGTTACGGAGAAAATGAACCCTGTCCCAGCCAGGGCCATCCACAAGTTGTGACTGTAGCGTAGGACAGGATCAGCAATTTCAGTGATATGAGCAACAAAACTTCAATCCACAGACCTGTTGTTCCAGATACTCTTGAAGAGGTTTAGTGCTTCTTGGAGCCGATTGGTCTGATTGTCCTCTCGTATAACCATGTTGTAGCTACTGCTCGCCACCACGAATATGATAGCAGTGACATCTAAACCAAGAAACACCCTTTGGTTATTACCAAACTTCAGAGAAACATCCAGGAATCCCAAAGTTCTATAAAAAGGTGCCAGACTTCCAGCTCCATGCGGAGAGCAGGCTGGGATGCTGCTGCTGGCGGCTTTCTAAGTACCAGAAATCAAAAAAGAAAGTGAAGAGACCATGGAAGACAGACAAGTCAGGGCCCAGAACAGAAGCTGACAAAATGACAGAAAATGTAGAAGAGGAAGGAACTGAAGCAAGAGGGACAAACTGAAGAAAGCCAAGAGGAGAATTTAAAGAAGATTTAAAATGTGTAAAGAAAATCAGAAACAACTCCGAGCTGTCAGGAAAGGACAGGGAGGCCCTCAGGAGAAGACCTCAGAACAAAGAGCACTTGTGATTTGTGTGAACAGTAATAATGACAGTTGAATTCATGGTTAATTGCTTCAGTCCCTATAGTGTGCTACACTTGGAGGTCCCTCTCTTTCCTGGGAGGTATTCCCAGGATCACAGAATCCAATCTCCGTGTTTCTGTGCTGCTCCAGACTCTACACTGACTGACTTCCAGGCTCATCTACCTCAGGCATCAGCAGCAGAAGAGATGAGTCAGACCATGAGGTAACAGGAAGAGGAAGGAGCAGAGGTAAAACCCAAACAAATCTGTTATTAATAGCACAGGAGAAAATACTGCACAGTAGTTCCACACATACACACAATGTTCAGGTGATACTCTGATAGCAACGGCAGCAATATACCATGAATTCCAAGTTGTATTCTGCTTTATTTATTCTGTAAGATCTCAATGTAGCTTTTCTACAAAAAGATGGACTTTTGCATAATTTCAATCATATTTTGTCCGAACAACAAAGGGGAAAAAAAATCCACTACCTCTAGCTTCAAGAAAATGCGTGGAGAAAGGTTTCATTTCTAAACAATATACAGAGTAAAAAACAGCTGCAGTGAAGGTACTTGTCACACTTCATGACAGGCACAAAACTGCCTAATTTCAATTGTGTGGCAGTTCAAAACATTGACACCTGAACTAAACTGATGGGGTCACTGGTGTTGAGAGACTCCAGATCTCACCATAAATGACACCAGGTCTAACCATTCAGATTTTCCCTATAGCCTCACTCTGCATTACTGGGTCAGTGCTGATTTGGAAAGAAGCACCATGGCATAGCAGTGTGGCTGCAATTATATCCCAAAATGTGATATTCTGACTTTGTGCATATAATAATGATCCTGCAGTTCTGTATTTTGCACATACATACAAACCTTCATATGGAAGACAGAACATAGTTGGAATTTGCACTCACATAGGTGGCAAATAATGCACACCACCACCATTAAAAAAAAAACAATTAAAGGAAGAGAGAAAAGCCAGAGAAAATGGACAAGCTTGAGTTATCAAACTTTAACTCCTCTCCCTGAAGATGGTCTATGCAGTTACAGAAGTGTACATGTCAAAAAAAATCCAACCCTTATGACTGTTCAGGTAACTCCTTATCAAGCTACATGGAAAAGATGGTGGCTTTTACACAGTGAGAAAATTCAGACTGGGCATTACAGCCTTGCAGAGAACTATTTTATAAAGCAAACAGAAATTCTGATCCTACCATTAAAACACTGGATCCATTTCCGGCGTTCATCTCGTTGCCCTCCAACATCAAACATACTGAGAAAAAAAAAAAAAACACAAATCCAGTCAGAATACACTTTGTGTTGGTTTTGTTTGTTTGTTTATTTGTGTCTTTATTTTTGTTTTCCCTCCCCGAATGCAATTAAAAAAGGTGAGAAATTTTAGGACTTCTGTGGCATAGAAGCTAAGAGGAATCAAGGATGACGAGAACCTGAACAGGTAAACAGTCCATCAATGTACGCACACAGAGGTAATATGATTTAAACCATTTTGTTCTTTGCAATTTAAAATTAAGAAAAAAATTGCACACCAACCTGCATTTCCTTTTCAAGCCAGACTACTAAATTAAAGAATCATAACATACTTGCTTTCTACTAAATAGCTACTTGAGAAATACAGAAGTCTCAATGACTATATGGTAGGCTGTCCTCCAATTTACCCTAGTACTTGTCTGTATTGTATTACGAAATAAAAACCACCCAAAATAAAGAGAAAAAATAAGGATACTTACTGAAAATTTACTTTATCCACCTGAAACTTGGTTTCAAAAATTCCCGATGTCAAAACTCTGCATCTGAGAAGATCCTAGAGCATAAAGGGAAAGTCATCGATTCAACACATATACTTTGTAATTTTTCAGTGGAAATAAACCCCTTTTATTCCATGCTGACAGTGGATGCTGCACTGCAAAACCAGGGACAGCATTTGAGTGTTAAGTGACACAGGGTGTGATGTAAGTCTTGTAAGTCAGATTTCACAGCCATTTATATGTATAAACATAATCCAAACAACAAAGCAATTTTTACTGGAATACTAAATATACACAGGGCATGGCAATACCCATGTTAGTGCCACAAATGGCAATTATAAAATGATGATTATAAAATATAAAGGCCGATGGGGGGCAGATAAATGGTGTTATTTCTTTGCATACCTGGTCAGACGGGGTGTACTCGTTCTGCTTGACTATGTCAATCTTGTCTAGAAAACTGGGGAGAGGAAAGAAAAAGAGAAATTGTCATTCTCAAGCAAGACAAACTACTCAATGCTTTAGTAACAGGCAGTTGCCAGGTAAATTTTGGTGTATTTTAATGCTCTCAGAATGCTGAAAAATCATACACTGAAATTGTTTAACTCGGGTCACTGGTCGTGCTTTCCCAGCACGAGCCAGCAGAGGGCCGAGCGCAGTTTAATTAATCCATCTGGGAATCTCACTCCAGCCCCTCCCGCCGGCTCCCTCCGCCACAAACACACCAGGAGTTTAATTTAGGTCATTTATTCCTATAAATCCTACACTATAACCTGCTACTGCTCACAGTAAGGCAATGACTCAGGTGAATTGCCTACGTGTAGTTTTCCTGAAAGAAAAACAACTATTTTTAAACAACTTATCATCACTGTAATTCTTTAAATAAATGAAATCCCCAAACCAATTTCAGCACAAGTTCAGTTAAGTGCAAGGAAATACTGATTTTCCTGTCAATTCGGTATCAGTGTTTCAATTTACTTTCTGGAGCAGCAGCAGCCGCCGTAGGCTAAATGGGTATTAAAACATATATTTCATTCAAATTCATTAGGTATTACCTGAAGAGGATACCCTGGAGTCTTTTAAATTTTTTTACCAATTAACTACAACCTCCTAATTATCTTTCTCTTCGACTCAAAGAGCAAAAATCTCAAGGAAGCAACTCGTTAACTCTGTTTTATTGTGGTGTTACTACGAGACTCAAAGACGTGGCAAAGCAGCAGCTCGGGATGCAGATTTTATGGTTTTTGCCCCCCAGTCCCACTGTCCAACACCAGGCACTCGGCAGGGACACAAAGTGCTCAGCCACCCTCCAGCTCAGCAGTGCCTTTACCCATCACATTAATGATTAATCAGTCTTTAAACCAATACACTTCAAGTTCCCTTTGAAATTCCTTCGCATGAATTGTTTTCTCTCTGAAGCAGAAATCACAAAGGAAAGGTGAGTTTTCCCTTCTCTCCATGTGCACTAACTACAGCTACAGGCAACAATTCCAAGGGGGTAAAGGGAGCCACGTCCCAGATCTGTGAATCAAAAACTCAACCCCCAGTAACACCAGCACAGGACTCAGACCCCAGTCCCAGCCCCCTCTGCCCAACTGATTTCCTAAAACACCAAAGGAGAAGCAGGGGAAAGGGGGGAAATAATTGTATATTTTAACAACTTCAGTGTAATGTCCTTTTCACCAGGAACTAGATGATCTTGTTTCAGACACACATGAAAACTAATTTTTCTTTACTCTGAATTCCAGAATTTTAAACACATCAAAACGTATCTTAATAAACACTCCACAAAAACCATGAGACGTAGTGCAAAGATCCATTTCCATCCTGCAACGTGACACAGGGACAAACATGCAAGGATTAAACGATGACAAACTGTGCTCTGCAATTTGCAAGCGGGATTTTTTCCTCATCTATTCCAGGCTGTTAAGTAATTTTCTTTTTCTTTTTTTTTTTTAATCCGAAGGGAAGAAATAAAACTCTTTGTTCAGTACCCAGAGGATGTTAAATACGTGCAACAACCATGAGCTCCAACCAGCATGTGTTTCCACCCCATACTCTCCCCTAAGAGCACAGTTTCAGAATCACGTGGCAATTTCACAAGTTGGATGATGCTTGGAAAATGTTCTGAACAGAACATGTTCATCAAGATACACAAAGGTGATTACAGCAATGAGCCAGCCTTTCTGTATGAATTTATCCAAGCAGAACATTTTCTGCTGGGTTCCACAAGAGGTGAATTTTTGGTTTTGTTTTGGGTTGTCTTTTTTTTTTTTTTTTGCTTGTTTTGTTTTGTTTTATTTTTAAACACTCTGCTAATCAGCTTAATGGATTTTGGAAACTGAAAATTAGAAAATAACAACAAGATATTGCTAAAACCTGGAACTGAAAGTACAAACCTCTTACTGTTGTTTATGCAGACTATTTTTAGGCCTATGATTTCCTTGAAAAACATCAGCCACATAGGAGCAGCAGTACTGTACTTGAGATGAATTCCAACAGCAATGTTCATGCCAGGTAAAACAAGTTCGGATGGAATAAACATTTCTTCTTCCCCCCCAAAACAAGTTCCAACATTCAGTAACATCTGATACTCGTAACAATACTCGTTGGAGAAGGAAGTCTTTCACTGTGTGATAGTTACCAGAAAACCCCCCCTGCTTCCAGTGGCATTTTAGGGAAAATGGAGCAAAGCGATATGTTAAATAAAGGTTTCCTCCCGTGTGCCTGCTCATAAAAGTCTGTCCCTTAGAAAGGGCTAAAGGCATTAAAAACCAGTTTGATTTTTTGCTCAAACGCAAAGAAAGGGGATTACTCTTTCAGCTGGTCAGTGGAAAAATAAATGTGTCCGTAAGGAGAAAAGAGGAGCAGAAATCTGATCCAGTCTGATACACCTAAAATAAGGAGCAACAGCGGGAGTTCAGAAAAGATCAATACACTGTGTTCAGAGGCTTCTCAGTCAATGTGAGTCAAGACCAAACAATTTATCCAGTAAATTAAACTAATAATCCAGTCAGATGAGAACAAAGCCTAATTCAAAATAAACACAAACTCACCATCATTAATTTCTATTTTTAATTCTTGCTATGCTCTACCCAAAACACAAGTGAGGCCACTTGAGTACTACTTTGTGTGCAGAATTCACTGCTGTGAGAGATTGTTCTAAGCCTGCTGGAGAAGTGCCCACCATCTACTGTGTCAGCAGTGAACTTACAGGGAGAAATAGAAGTGACCTTGGTGAAATAATTCAAATAAAACTGTCAAACCACGAACCCAAATTTTACACTGCGAGCAGGTCTTGCACCGAGTTACAGAGGCAGTTTTTTGCTCCTGTAAAATTTTCCCAGAGATTGTATGGAAAAGCTATTTTCCAGAAAGCAAATAATTCATTCAGCATCGCTGCCAATTCTCACTTAGGGCCAGATTCTGGACATGACTAAAAAGCAGGATCAGCTACTGCTCTGCAAAATACTGTCACGTAGTATGAGGCACTTTTGCCTGTGTTATAAAACGTTGATCCTACCGTGACACATGCTAACAAAAAAAAGAAAAAAAGAAGACTTTAGGTTATTTGTAGTCAGCAACACTGAGAAGAAGCATCTCTAGGATAAGCAGTAAATGTGTGTCTGTGATAGTAAAATGCAAGGTATTAACAAAACATTAAAACTATCTCAAATAAAAAAAAACATGCTTTATTTTTGAGTCCCTTGAATTTATCTTAGGGAAGGAAAAACACATGAGAATGTTTTTAAACAGATCTTTGGGACAAATGAAGTGTCTTTCATTTTAAGGGTGCTCTGAGGAAACAGATTCATATAGAGAGATACACAGAGGTTTTCCTTAGCTCCTGCAGGTCAAAGTAATTAAGTCATACATATATTCCCAATTCTTTCCAAATTTTTATGAAGCCTATTATGTCAAAACCACGTCCCAATTTCACATCAAGCTATATGCCGGTACCTGATTTATTCTGGAGTTCTTTCACACAGAGAGAGTTGCTTTACCCCTGTGTGGGGGGAATTTCCTGAATGAACAGTGCTGCTGCCAGACAAAGAGCTGCAGCCTGTGCTTGTTTTAACTCCTGGAAAGGTGTGGAACACACGGAACCTTCCACCCCAAAACCAACACAACTCCACCGTTCGGGGAAGCCCGGGAGGGGGACCTCACACTGCCTTTTCTTCAGCATTTCCTGACAGCCTTTTCAATAAACTTCAATAAAATCTTACTCTCTGTGATCTGACGAAACGGTTGGCAGACAATGATTTTTCTTTTTTTTTTTTGCTTTGTGAAGAAGAGCTTTTGTTTTCAGTCTAGAACAACACTGGAAAGGTCTCTTCAAACTGACAACACACCTATATTTGAAGAGCTTTATTTCCATCAGGTTTTTTTGTTTTTTTTCTGGTCAAGTCATAACTTGAATTAGCATACAAAATGTCTCTGTTAAAAGACACACTAAGATGTCATCTTTGGTGTCAATAAGACACTTCAAATCAAGAAATCAAAATTTCAATCCCAACTAAAGACAGTATTTGTTCATAACCCTCAACAGCAGTACTAGATCTCCGTATTTGTGAAGTTACTTGTCTCTGAAAGCCTCCAGGTATTTTACAGACATTAAATCACTCTCCCAACTCCTGCCTGCCTTCATTCAGGCTGCATTTCCTGCCTCCACCATCGCACCCGAAACGCACACCTTGCAATAACCCTGCTTTAAAGGCAGGCACTCAGGCAGTGAGTTAATTGCCCAGAGTCCCTTGAGTCAGTGGAAATTTTCATTTCCACTGAGTCATGTGTTTCTACCAAGATATTACTAAGAGACCACCAGAATATTACTAAGAATTATCAAGATTTCACTAAGAATTACAGTTGCATTTACCCTGATCACCTCTAAAACAGTCTTTCCAATTCAAGTTTCTATGTCCAGAAAGAAATTAATATTTGTTTACTGATCTCCCCAAAGACCAAACTGTGCAAATGCCCAGATTTTTATTTATTTATCTATACCTTATCAGGACTACAAAGCTAACACAACTCTCCCTAAAGTAGTTTTAAGCTGAAATTTAACTGAACATTAACAATGTTTATTATAAACATGAGTGTACTTTTTATTTTTCAGAACAGATCATGCTTTACTTCTACTTTACTCCCTTTTCTAGCCCTTGCCATAATCCTTTATGTTATTCAGCAACAGCTTTTTAAAAGCTCAACAGTTAACTACTTGATAAATTCTTTCTTCAGCTATGCTGTTAGCATTTATGGTATCCTGAAAAGGCGGACTGTGTGAAACCAAACTTATCAGGTTTTTCTTCAAAATAAAGTTAAAAATTAAAACTGGGACATTAATAGTCTTTTGTTTGTTTTTTTTTTTTAAGATATAATGATATTTTCTATTATTTGGCCGCTGAAGACATGTCACGACCACGTTACTGGACGACTGAAACTGTTCAGAAAGGCACAGCC